CAAGTTAAACCCCTGGACCTAGGGTGTCACGTTGATCCTCTAAGACAAATATGCATCTGGCCATCATGCTCCAAACTCACAAGCACAGACTCCAGGAGTGAACCAGCTGAATCCAGATGAGTCTAGCTCCATGCTTTCAGTGCCTAGTGGATCCGAAGGCCACATCTATGACACAAGTGCTCTTTTCCAAGACAGATGGCCCTAGTGGTCCCCACACACAAAACCCTGTGTGCATTGATTCATGTCCCACGCTTGGACAGTCCCGTGGGAAGCATGGCCAGGTGGGCAGTCCACCCCCCACATTGCTTCCAGAGGGTTGCTGACTGACACAAGTGAGGGCAAAGTGTGGACCCCGGGCCATCCCTGGGGGCAGAGCTCACGTTGTTCATGTGACTGCTGCTGAGAAGGTGGCAGGAAATCCCCATGAGGGCGGAAAGCTGGGTCTGAAGAAACTCAATAGCCCTGTTCTCAAGGCTGGATGGGGCCAGACCAGGGGCCTGGGCTCTGCGGGGGACTCTCTGCAGTGCTGGTGGCAGGGTGGGGTCAGCCCACTCCCTACTGCCCCACCCCAGCTGCCGCAGACACATGAGACGCTGTGCTGCTTGCTTTCTCTTCTGAGTTGGCTTATTCCCTCCATTGCAGAAAATTTTCAGCCTCTCAACAGGATTGGCATCTTTGGAAAACCCAGCACCCCTCCTCCAGGAGTAGGGAACCATTCAGGGGACAGCGGACTTGGTGCTATGCTCATTGTCGCACTTTAGATTCTTACTGATTGACAGTTATTACTTTTTAACTGGATCCCGTCAGCTTTTAAAGGTTACCCCAGAGCCTGACATGCAGAACCTGAGGCCTGGCTGTCCAAGTCCCACAGGCCTAGTGCTGCAGGCCATCCCCAGCCCATGACCCTGTTGCTGATGGAGACCCAGGCCTAAGGAGCATGCAGGAGCAGTGACACAATGCAGCATGGACCTCGTGCCTCTCACCAGGTGACATGTGACACCGGTGCTGCAGGTAGGGTGCCAGGACCAAACCACCCTCAACAGCAGAAGGGCCCAGGGCCACCAGGATGCAGAGAAAGGCACAGGGGTCTCGGCCATTTGTGCTCTGCTGTCTCTGACCCTGCAGCAGCTCCTTCTCCCCTCTCCACTTCCCAGCCACCACAGCACAAACTTCCTGTCCACCAAGCCCCCCTGCCAGGCCACTTTTGCCTGGGAGCTGAGGACATGGACTGCAAACACAGGCCACAGTACACCTCTGCCCCTCTGAGCTGTGTGCACCTTGGTGCCTTGAAGAGTCCTGATGAGATGAGGCCTTGCAGGGAGAGCCCGGGCAGGAGGCAGCGGATTCATGCACACTCCAAGCTGGGTGGAGGGGAGCCTTGTCGGCAGTGCTGCACAGACCCCACTGACCCTCCCAGTTCCCCAAGTGACTTTCACACATGCTGCACACCATGTAGGTGCTCAGAATGGAGTTGGATACAAAACACGTGGACCTCTGCCCTCATCTTGGGAGGAGCCCTGAGCAAGTGGCAGTGGCCTTGGTGTGTCCATCGAAGTCAGAGCAGAAGGGCACCTGAGCCCGGACCTAAAGGGCTGAAGGAGTCACAATATGTGAGGAGGAGCAGCAGAGGCTCCTGAGGGTGAAGACTGAGGTCAGAGCTCCAGCAGGCAGCTCCTAGGGGTGAGCAATGCTTGAGGGTTGTGTGGTGCCTGCCTGTCCTGGTCCCACACAGACACCTACCACATCTGTGTGCGACAAGGTGCTAAACCCCAGAAACTGTTGTTGGGAGAGCTCTATTGGTGCTGATTTAAGTCTCCACGGCTCCCCATGGCAGCAGCTGTGTCCTTAGTGTGGCCCTGGCCATTCACAGGGTACTCTGTGTGGACTCAAGGAGTGAGGTCAGAGTGGTGAGGACAGAGGGAGCCTAGGACTTCAGTGAGACTTGGGCAGAGAGATGTGATGTGCAGAGCTGGACATCACTCTCTGGAGGGTACAGCATGGTGACTGGTGACAGCCTTGGTTTGGTCTCTGGCATTGTGATTATTTGTTTCAACATCCAACAAGAAACCTTGGGAGAAAGAGTTGGCATCTCTCCCAGTGGAGTGGACGCCAGTGCAGGGCTGGGGTCACATGGTTCAGCACTGCAAAGCAGACAGGCCGTATCCATCCCTACCTGCTCTGCCCCCTCTCCAAAGGCTCAGCTCAAAGCAGAGCCCTTCCTCATGGACACCCCAGGGGAGGGCCATGAGACCCTGCATGCTGTCTGTTGCAGTGGAAGTGCATTCTTCCTCAGCCTGTGTTGCCATCCACACAGCCTCCCAGGCCAGCCCCCATACTCCGCAGAGCAGCAGCTGTAGGAGGCACATAGAGGAAGCCAGTGCTTCTGTCTACCTGCTGTAATCAAATACAATTAATCATTTCAGCCCCAACACTGTTATTGTAGCTTGTGGTTGCTGTGTATCATCAAGTAAGTCTGCCACATCAGGAGACAAACCTGGATCTGTGTCTTTGTTTCTGGATTTTAGTATGATTCTCATCATTCCCAAAGCTGGGGTCTACATATCTAGCCTGTGGGGTGCTCTGGGTAGCTGTCCTGAGCCTGGACTTTCCCAGGAAAAACAACAGACTGCTATGGTCACTGAAGTCCATGGAATGGCCAACCAAGAGGCAGTGTAAGAGTCCTGGGTCACAGAAGAGGGACACACTGGCCATGGAGGCGGAGCAGGTGTGGTGTGACCAAAATATCCACCCCCAAAACTGCCTGGAGCCCAGGGCCCAGGGAGGAGCACTTGGGTATAGCTCTGTGGCCTGGCAGCCAGGAGCAGGTCATGCTGGGATCTGACAAGTCACCAAGGGTTCCAGTCTCTCAGAGCCTTCGTAAAACACAAAAGTCAGGGGGCTGGGGATTTAGCTCAGCGGCATAAGCGCCTGTCTTGCAAGCAGGCAGTCGTGAGTTTGATCCCTGGTACCGATAAAAACGAAAAAGACAAAAAAAACCACACACACACAAAAGTCAATAAAAGCAGCCATCACCACCAGAGTGGTTGTGGAAATGAAGGGCTTAGGTGCTGATGACATCATGCAACTAGGAGAAACACACAGAAAGCAAACACCTGACAACTAGGCTATAAACAGGTGTGCACACAGATGGGTGCCTGCTGTGTTAAGGTCTCTACCTGTGCTGCCTGCACCTGCTGCATGGCTCAGGTAAGTTTAGGGTGACACTGAAGCTCAGGAGAGGTAGCTGCGCTGTGACCCGGCCCCCTGCCCTGCATGTGATCTCGAGACACAGACAACTTGGTCCCAGGCTGGACTCTGCCATAGCTGTCTCTGCTTTCAGGGGGCCAGAGACCTCCAGGGCATAGGGTTTGTGCATGGTGGCCCAGCAGGAGGACCCTCAGCTCAGCCCTGCACAACCTCCACCCCATGAGCTATTCCCACTGCCACACAGGCAGCCCACAGTCTGCAAAGCTCTCCAGCACTGTGCATCCCAGGGTGGTTTTGTTTTCCACCCCTGAGGACTATAATGACAGTAATTTTCATTTCCGGTTACTGTTCCCAAGACCACATGGGAGCCAACACGCACAGTAAAGGAGTGGAGATTGCACAGCTGTGGCTCTGCAGACAGGTGTTGAGTTGTCCCAGACATGTGGATGGGACTGCAGCAATCTCACACCTGGGCACAGCAAGAGCAGTGTCACAGGGTGCACAAGTGGCCTGGCACTGGCCCATGGCCTTGGCTGATCCTTCCCATGTACCCCGCCCTGTGGAGTAGAGCATCAGAATCAGACTGCAGGTCTGTGGGGCAGCAGTGTGGACAGAGTCACCAGCGCCAAGACAGTGAAGTCCCTACTTACAGTCAATAGACCCATGGCAAGTGCTGCTCCTCTCTGTCCCCAAGACCAGTGCTGGGCTCACAGGGCTCCATCCCTCGCAGCACCAGCCATCCACATGCTGGTCAGCGGCCATGACCAACAGTCTGTGCATTTAATTTGCAAAACCAGGAAATGAACCCATCATCATGGGCCTTTTCTATGTCTGAGTCAGTGGCTGGGGGTAGCAGGGTATAGAGGATGAGCAGGAAGGTGGCTTCTGTCCTTTTAGATCTCCCCAGAGACAAGCACTGCATGTGTCCTTGGTGGCCCCAGGCCAAGCCCCAGCAGGGCATTAGTGCTCCTATCCTTCCTGAGTCCTGGGGAACACCACCTGGTGGGCAACCACTCCATCTGTATAGGAAATCAGCAGTATGATGCTGGGAACTCTCTGAACTGCCCCCCTCAGATCCCCCACACCAAAGTCTCCAGGAGATGCTGGTTCAGGCATGACCAGCCACTGGGTGGCAGAGCCACACCCAAAGGCAGCTTCTTACAGAGCAGCCATGGTTCCTCAGGACAGAGCTCAGGCAAGGGTGGGCGCCAGGACCCCCATGTCCTGATGTGGCTCAGAGTCAGGGAGTTTGGAGGCAAATTCAGAACGGTAATCTTCCATCTACACAGCCCCGCTAGGTTCCATAAACCAGCAGGAAATTGCAGTAAAATTCCAAACCACATGGAACAAGGCCCCTGAAAGTCCCTGCCCCAGATCCTGTAAGTGACAGCTTTATTCCCACTATCCCGGCCCAGGCATGCAAAGATCTTTGACAAGGAGGCTCCTCCATTTATAACAAACCATCGCTTGTCAAAAGCATCTTAGGTCAAAAACCTGCTTCACACCTGACAAGGTGATGGTGGTCGGAAATCGTGAGCTGTGCCACTGTGCACTGGGGATGTTGGGCTGTGACTGGCTCTGTGGGATTTTGTCCCTGATGAGCCACTGAAAGGCCTCCTCTGGGTTTTGCTTTTACTGTCCTCATCCATAGACCAGAGGTGCTGGTTTGGGGATGGCACTTGCAGGATGTGACTGTAGCATCAGGGACGGCAGCTTTGGGGGTTGGTGCTGCCCCTTCCATCAGACTGACCAACCCTGAACTAATTCCCTCTCCTGCCCTCCTCCCTCTACAGAGCGACTACTCCAGCGACACCGAGAGTGAGGACAACTTCCTCATGATGCCTCCACGGGACCACCTGGGGCTCAGCGTCTTCTCCATGCTCTGCTGCTTCTGGCCGCTGGGTATTGCAGCCTTCTACCTATCCCACGAGGTGAGGCCTCCATCCATCCGTCAGCCAACACATTGTGGTACCATGGGTGGGTGCCATGGACATGACACAGACAGACCAGGAGGTTCAAAGAATGAGGACAGGCAGGGCTGTGCACTAGACCAAGCAAGCTTGGGTGCCCTGTCTCTGGCCTGGGCATGCTGTCCCTGGCCCAGGCACATTGTCCTTCAGGGAGAGGATGCATGATGAGGATATGTTTCACTCAGCAGAGGGCAGAGCTTCTGGGGGCCCAGCCTTCTCCTGAGTGGGAAGCGGGCACCAGTAAGGAGGCAGTGGTGAGGAGGACAGAGGTGTCCCTGTCCAGGATGAAGGCTCATGTGTGTAAGTGGATTCCTGCTCTGTGGCAGTCAGGTCCCCAGCCCAAAGGAAGAGGGATCCCAGCATGGTTCTGCCTGAGACTGTGAGCTCTGCCCTCTCCACCACACTCCCCACTGGGTGATCTCCACGTTGTCCCTGTTCCCCCAGGAGCCTCAGCTGATTTTCACCCCTAGTGGAGGATGAGCCTGAGTTCAGGAGCCCTCAGGAGTCTCCATGTCCTTTTTCCCCAGAGCAGACACATTCATTTGCCAGTGAAGCATGAAATTACAGCCTCACCTCAGCCTCTGCTGTCATCTCAGCGTGAACAGGGGGAGGCAGCCCTGTGTGGGCACAGGCACAGAGTCCCCATGTGGATGCAGGTGGGGGGCCCAGCCCCCACATGTTGCAAGGAGGAAGACTCCAGGATGCTTGTTAGTGGTCTCCTTTGCTCCCAAGACTCTGGGGCTGAGGCTAGAGCTGGCCGGCCTGAGAAGGTTCTTCTACTGGCTGCAAATTAGTGCCCAGCTAGCACAGGAGTCTCTCAGCAGGTTCTGTGTAGGCGACCTCGGCTTAAACTGGCAGAGGAGAAACCATAAACCATTTTTTCTCCCACCATACATGCTAAATGGTGCCTGGTCATTTCCCTGGCGGTCCCAGGAGAAGCCAAGAGCCAGGAGTGGCTGTGGCCATCCCAAGGGCAGTGATCTATTGGAGACAGGCACAGGGAGAATGGCTTCTGATGGGCTCAGGGCGCCACAGTGGCCTCATCCGTCTACCTGGACTCCTTGTGAATGTGTCCCATGATGTGTTGCACAGATCCTCCTCCAGGATAGGCAGAACTCCAGGCACCCAGTGACTAGCAAGAGGAGGCAACTTGGGGACACAGCAGGACCTGGAGAAGGGACTTGGCAGCAGGCGGATGGAAGGATGGGTGGATGGGTGGATGGATGAGTGACAGATGGGTGGTAGATGAGTAAATGCTCATAGTGAACTGAACCTCAAACAAGCAGGAATAGTTGCACACCAAAGGGGTGGTCAGGACCCTGGAGAGGCACCCCTGCACCCAGCCTGGCACGGGCATGGCCGCTGGCTTTCTATGTACTGAATGGTGATGGCCATGGTGCCCACACTTCCCTCCTGTACCCATCTCCAGGTGTGCCTGGGTGTGAGAATGGGCACACAAACTTCCTGGGTTTAGATTTCCAAACTGAGGATGGGTCTGAATATTTTTATTTGGATTTCACAGTCAGAGGTACTGCTTGTCCCAGAGGTGACAATGGGCTCCTTGCGCATCAGCAGGTGCTGAGTGGGGGATGGGGTGGAGAGGCTGTAGCCTGGCCACTGCCCTCCAAGGTCTCTGCTGCCCATCCCCACCCTTTACCCCCAGTTTCGGGAGCCAGGCACGCAGTGGACAGCACTTTTGTCCTAAAGATGGCAATTACGACAGAATGAGGTCTGCTGCTGCAGCAAGGCCAGCGCTTGGGTTCTCTTTCTGGGGAGGCAATTTCATTCTCGGCATGGTACAGCCTCTGAGGCTGTGTCTGATGACTCATGACATTGTTCCTACAGTGGTCAAAGGGACTTTTATTATACGTGAAGCAGTAAAAACAAAGTGAATGCAGCTTTTGCAGGCTTTTGAGCTCTCTTGAATCTCAGAACACTGTGTGTTCGGGAGCAGTGGCCTGCATGGAAGGAAGGGAGGGTTAGCCCCCCCAAGACCCCAGGGCCCCCAGTGCTGGAGAACAGATTCCCACCTACCCCAACCCCCACCCACTACACAGTCCTGCATTTCTATACAGAACTCAGAGAGGGAGCGGCCGTGTCCTCATCTCTTCTGAGCCTCCTTCCTAGCAGTGCTGCCCTCTCGGTCTGCAGCTCTGGGCTGGGCCGTGGGTCCCTGCTCAACCCACACACAGACACAGGGCCCCAGCTGCCCACAGGGCAGCACCGCCTGGAGGACGAGTGGCAGCAAGTCAGCAGACATGGCAGACATCGGCCAGAATCAAATGGCTGCCTGTTCTGAGCCAGGCTTTGGGGAGAGACTAGAGGTCGCCCCAATGCCTTTTAGTCCCCAGGCATGAGTTGTGCAGCCCAGAAGAGGTGACAGCCAGAGAGTATGTGCCCAGCCCACAAGGCCACCTGCTCTCTACAGGAACCTTCCACCACCCAGGGTGGCACTGGGTTTTCCTTTTGTCACAGCTGCCCACTGAGAGCTACACTGCATCTGCTCACTGTCCAACACCGATCCATAGGGCTAAGCAGGCATGGGTGTTCCAGAGAACAGGGCAGAACATGCATGGTGGCCTGGTCAGCTCAGTGGCGGTGTGAATTCTTAAGGTCCTGTGTTCAGGTTCTGCTGTCTCCAGCAGCCACTCCGCTGTGCTTTGGTTTCCCAGTCCTAACAGATGTGGAAGTCATTCCCATGAGTTAGAGGCGGAACTGGGGTCCTAGTCCCAGGAGGCTTTGGGTGACATGGGCGTGCAGGGACAATGCCCCACAAGATCCTTGGGCAACCTCCTGTGGATATGAGAAGGGAACTGTAGAGCTGAGGGTCCCAGGAGCCCTTTCCAGAGGACAGAGCCATGGCGACACCTGCTGCTGAGAGCGCTCACCACTGTGTCCTCTCTGGGTACCATCCCAGTCAAGCATCATCCCTGGGCACAAAGGTTTTCTGCAGAGGGCTAGGCGTGGCCTCCCTGGGCAGAGGGTGGCCAGCTGGGCTGGGCTGGGCAGGGATGGAGCCAGGCATACAGGGAGCAGCTGGGGGGCAGCGGTATGGCCACACTGCATTTCCCACAGGGCTCACTGCTGGCCAGGACCCCAGAGCCCATTCTGTGCTGGAGTCTCAGTGAGGAGGGCTGGATGTGGAGGTGGCACACTTAGGAATGGAGGCTCTCGGGATGCAAGGGTGGAGCAGCCCTGTCTGCCAGGGGACTGCACTTGCTCATGTTTAACCTCGGCTGCGAACCTGCCAGGGAAAAGCTGTGACCTGCACTTAAAATGAGAACAGATGAGGGCAACTCCTGGAGCCGCAGGGGAACTTGCAGGGCACAGGGATGGACACTCAGCATCCTGCCTCAGGGCATAGGTCTGCAGCCTGACTCTGCTTTCCATCTCTAGGGACTCAGATGGGAGTAAACAGATGTAGGACCACGGCCCCTGGAACCTGCCGTCCTCATGACCCATGTGAGGTGTGGTGGCCTAGGAAGAAGCCATCAGAATGGGCTTTGGGATTTGCCGTTGGGGCCCTGTACTGGGTCCCCAGGACAGCAGCAGGGAACCCCAGTCTTGGGGCTGGGACAGACACCCAGGAGATGTGTGTGGAGTCATCCGGCAGAGTCCACTACATTCCGGCATTTATTATATCATTATTTAATTTCATTTCATAAAATGTTTCTTTCTTTACTAACTGCAACCTTATGACAATAATTAAATGAGGAAAGGGTTTTCAGAGCCAGATGATGAATTTACGGATCACTCCAGCCACAGAACCACAGCCCCTGGAACACAGAACCATTCCCCTGGGGCAGTGGAGCCAGTGACCATGTCCTCAGGCTCCGGGCGCTGTCCTGTCCCACCAATGCCTGTATGCCCTGCTAGGGCCCATTGGCACACAGAACTGATGTCCAGTGAGGAGGCACAAGCAGTAGACAGGAGGAGAGAGGGCGCCTGAGCTCCAGGGATGGGGAGACCACACCAGGAGTGTGGGGAGTGCAGGACTGGACAGAGACTGCAGTGGCATTCGCAGAAGGACCTGCAGAAGGAGACATTGCTAACAGAGATTGGGACTGGCCCTGAGGCTCCCCTGGGGTTTGGCCCAGGTCACCACAAGGCCACGACTAGACCATCTGTTGGGAGACGCTGCAGGTTTGCTGGAGGAGGAGGAGGAGGAGGAGGAGGAGGAGGAGGAGGAGGAGGAGGAGGAGGAGGAGGAGGAGAAGGGTCTGAAGGAGGATGTTTGCAGCAATGAGGACACTGTGTAGCCTCTGTGCCTGTTGGAGGGAAGAGCAGCCCAAGCAGCAACCACCTTTGGGCACTGGGGATGGTCAGGCTGGAACAGGAGTGCAGGCTGCCTTATGAGGAACAAGGTCAGTTGGCCACCTCTGCATGTGCAGGAAGAATCAGTCACACTGGGCTGCAAAAGGCCAAGCAGGGCACTGTGGGGGGCAAGAGGGCCTGGGTACTGGGCACACACCGTGGAGATGCCCGGGCCTTCACCAGTGGTCCCTGAATCCTGCATGCACACACACTTCAGTTAAGACTTTGCACACATACAAGAGGAGCAGAGCGAGGTGACAGCCTGTCCTCTCCAGAGCCTGCATCCTCAGGGGTGATTCACCAGCTGCTTCCGGCTGAAGACCAAGAAGCACACGGCAGGGGCTCTGGCACATGGGGGGGCCTGGGACACAGACATGCATGGAGGAAGGGGCAGGGCTGCATATGTATGGCCTCCCTCAGCTTGCTGGGGACCATCAGGGGAACCCAGACCGAGGTCCAAACCCTGGCTCCAGCCTCCATGTCACCTTGGGCTAGGCTGTGACTACTGGGCTTAAGGTACCTCACCACCTTGTGCCAGAAGAACCACACGTCTGGCTTCAGGGACTACCTGTCCTCACAGAGTAGCTAAAGCCTGCTCCTCTGTCCCCAAAGAGGCAGTGGCCCTGCTGTCACTTCAGAGACCCACT